TCGTGGTCCCATAGGGAGCTCCACCGAAGGCCCCAGCGGCTGCGTTCGCATGGCGGCACCGCACCCATTTCGGCACACCCCGCACACGCTTCGTGGCCGCATAAGGAGCTCCACCGAGGGCTCCAGTGGCTGCGTTCGCATGGCGGCACCGCGCCCATTTCGGCACACCCCTCACACGTTTCGTGGCCCCATAGGGAGCTCCACTGAGGGCCTCAGCGGCTGCGTTCGCATGGCGGCACCGCACCCATTTCGGCACACCCCTCACACGCTTCCTGGCCCCATAGGGAGCTCCACCGAAGGCCCCAGTGGCTGCGGGCGCATGGCGGCGCCGCACCCATTTCGGCACACCCCTCACACGTTCGTGGCCCCATAGGGAGCTCCACCGAAGGCCCCAGTGGCTGCGTTCGCATGGCGGCGCCGCACCCATTTCGGCACACCCCTCACACGTTTCGTGGCCCCATAGGGAGCTCCACCGAAGGCCCCAGTGGCTGCGTTGGCATGGCGGCGCCGCACCCATTTCGGCACACCCCTCACACGCTTCGTGGCCCTATAGAGAGCTCCACCGAAGGTCCCAGTGGCTGCGTTCGCATGGCGGCGCCGCACTCATTTCGGCACACACCTTACACGTTTCGTGGCCCCATAGGGAGCTCCACCGAAGGCTCCAGCGGCTGCGGGCGCATGGCGGCGCCGCACCCATTTCGGCACACCCTCCCACGTTTCGTGGCCCCATAGGGAGCTCCACCGAAGGCCCCAGTGGCTGCGGGCGCATGGCGGCGCCGCACGCATGTCGGCACACCCCTCACACGTTTCGTTGCCCCATAGGGAGCTCCACCGAAGGCCCCAGTGGCTGCGGGCGCACGGCGGCGCCGCACCCATTTCGGCACACCCCTCACACGTTTCGTGGCCCCATAGGGAGCTCCACCGAAGGCCCCAGTGGCTGCGTTGGCATGGCGCCGCCGCACCCATTTCGGCACACCCCTCACACGTTTCGTGGCCCCATAGGGAGCTCCACCGAAGGCCCCAGTGGCTGCGGGCGCATGGCGGCACCGCGCCCATTTCGGCACACCCCTTCACACATTTCGTGGCCCCATAGGGGGCCCCACCGAAGGCCACAGTGGCTGCGGGCGCATGGCGGCGCCGCACCCATTTCGGCACACCCCTCACACATTTCGTGGCCCCATAGGGGCCCCACCGAAGGCCTCAGTGGCTGCGCTCGCATGCGGTTCCGCCCCCCACTCTGGCACACCCCTCACACGCTTCGTGGCCCCATAGGGAGCTCCACCGAAGGCCCCAGTGGCTGCGTTCGCATGGCGGCGCCGCACCCATTTCGGCAAACCCCTCACACGTTTCGTGGCCCCATAGGGAGCTCCACCGAAGGCCCCAGTGGCTGCGTTCGCATGGCGGCGCCGCACCCATTTCGGCACACCCCTCACACGCTTCGTGGCCCCATAGGGAGCTCCACCGAAGGCCCCAGTGGCTGCGGTCGAATGGCGGCGCCGCGCACATTTCGGCACACCCCTCACACGCTTCGTGGGCCCCATGGGAGCTCCACCGAACGGTCCCAGTGGCTGCGTTCGCATGGCGGCGCCGCACCCATTTCGGCACACCCCTCACACGTTTCGTGGCCCCATAGGGAGCTCCACCGAAGGTCACAGTGGCTGCGTTGGCATGGCGGCGCCGCGCCCATTTCGGCACACCCCTCACACGTTTCGTGGCCCCATAGGGAGCTCAACCGAAGGCCCCAGTGGCTGTGATCGCATGGCGGCGCCGCACTCATTTCAGCACACGCCTCACACGCTTCGTGGCCCCATAGGGAGCTCCACCGAAGGCCCCAGTGGCTGCGTTCGCATGCGCCCACCGCACCGATTTCGGCACACCCCTCACACGTTTCGTGGCCCCATAAGGAGCTCCACCGAAGGCCCCAGTGGCTGCGTTCGCATTTCGGCACCGCACCCCTTCCGGCACACCCCTCACACGCTTCGTGGCCCCATAGGGAGCTCCACCGAGGGCCCCAGTGGCTGCGTTCGCATGGCGGCACCGCACTCATTTCGGCACACCCTCACACGCTTCGTGGCCCCATAGGGAGCTCCACCGAGGGCCCCAGTGACTGCGTTCGCATGGCGGCACCCCACCCATGTTGGCACACACCTCACACGCTTCGCGGCCCCATAGGGAGCTCCACCGAAAGTCCCAGTGGCTGCGTCCGCATGGCGGCGCTGCCAGATTTTGCGTCACCCCTCACACGCTTCCTGGCACAATAGGAAGCTCCACATGAGGTCTCAGTGGCGCAGTTCGTTGAATGGGGTGGAAAGCGCGGCAGTGGGGGAAATTCGCTGAGAGTTTTCGATTGCGTGGAAGGACAAGGCCATCGCGATTTTTCCCAACCACCCTGTGGTGTTGGGTCCTCGTTTTGAAGAGACGGTGCCCCGCGTCTCCTTTCCTCTCCTCTCCCTCCTTCCTCCTCCTCCGCCTCCCCCCCTCCCCCCCCGCGTCAGCCGCGTACATTTCGGCACGCCCCTCACACGCTTCGTGGCCCCATAGTGAGCTCCACCGACGGCCCCTGTGGCTGCGTTCGCATGGCGGCACCGCACCCATTTCGGCACACCCTTCACACGCTCCGTGGCCCCATAGGGAGGTCCACCGAGGCCCCCCGTGGCTGCGTTCGCATGGCGGCACCGCACTCATTTCGGCACACCCCTCACACGTTTCGTGGCCCCATAGGGAGCTCCACCGAAGGCCCCACTGGCTGCGTTCGCATTTCGGCACCGCGCTCATTTCGGCACACCCCTCACACGTTTCGTGGCCCCGTAGGGAGCTCCACCGAGGGCCCCAGTGGCTGCGTTCGCATGGCGGCACCGCACCCATTTCGGCACACCCCTCACACGCTTCGTGGCCCCATAGGGAGCCCCACCGAAGGCCCCAGTGGCTGCGTTGGCACGGCGGCACCGCACCGATTTCGGCACACCCCTCACACGCTTCGTGGCCCCATAGGGAGCTCCACCGAAGGCCCCAATGGCTGCGTTCGCATGGCGGCACCGCAGTCATTTCGGCACCCCTCACACGTTTCGTGGCCCCAAGGGGAGCTCCACCGAAGGCTCCAGTGGCTGCGTTCGCACGGCACCGCGCCCATTTCGGCACACCCCTCACACGTTTCATGGCCCCATAGGGAGCTCCACCGAGGGCCCCAGTGGCTGCGTTCGCACGGCGGCGCCGCACCCATTTCGGCACACCCCTCACACGTTTCGTGGCACCATAGGGAGCTCCACCGAAGGCCCCAGTGGCTGCGTTCGCATGGCGGCACCGCACCCATTTCGGCACACCCCTCACACGTTTCGTGGCCCCATCGGGAGCTCCACCGAAGGCCCCCGTGACTGCGTTCGCATGGCGGCACCGCACCCATGTCGGCACACCCCGCACACGTTTCGTGGCACCATAAGGAGGTCCACCGAGGGTTCCAGTGGCTGCGCTCGCATGGCGGCACCGCGCCCATTTCGGCACACCCCTCACACGTTTCGTGGCCCCATAGGGAGCTCCACCGAGGGCCTCAGCGGCTGCGTTCGCATGGCGGCACCGCACCCATTTCGGCACACCCCTCACACGCTTCGTGGCCCCATAGGGAGCCCCACCGAAGGTCCAGTGGCTGCGTTCGCATGGCGGCACCGCACCCATTTCGGTACACCCCCACACGCTTCGTGGCCCCATAGGGAGCTCCACCGAAGGCCCCAATGGTTGCGTTCGCATGGCGGCACCGCGCCCATTTCGGCACACCCTCACACGTTTCGTGGCCCCATAGGGAAGCTCCACCGCGGGCCTTCACGGGTGCGTTCGCATGGCGGGCACCGCGCCCATTCTCCCCGGCCCCCGCACACGTTCGCGGCCCTGTAGGAGCTCCACCGAGGGCCTTTCCAGCGGCTGCGTTCGCATGGCGGCACCGCGCCCATTTCGCTGGCACACCCCTCACACGCTTCGTGGCCCCATAGGGAGCTCCACCGAGGGCCCCAGTGGCTGCGTTCGCATGGCGGCACCCGCCACTCATTTTGGCACACCCCTTCACACGTTTCGTGGCCCCATAGGGAGCTCCACCGAAGGCCCCAGTGGCTGCGTTCGCATGGCGGCACCGCACCCATTTCGGCACACCCCTCACACGTTTCGTGGCCCCATAGGGAGCTCCACCGAGGGCCCCAGTGGCTGCGTTCGCATGGCGGCACCGCGGCACACCCCTCACACGTTTCGTGGCCCCAGAGCTCCACCGAAGGTCCCATGGCTTGCGTTCGCAGCGGCACCGCCCTCACACGTCGGCACACCGTGGCCCCATAGGTCGTGGCCCCATAAGGAGCTCCACCGAGGGCTCCAGTGGCTGCGTTCGCATGGCGGCACCGCGCCCATTTCGGCACACCCCTCACACGTTTCGTGGCCCCATAGGGAGCTCCACCGAGGGCCCCAGTGGCTGCGTTCGCATGGCGGCACCGCGCCCATTTCGGGACACCCCTCACACGTTTCGTGGCCTCATAGGAGCTCCACCGAGGGCTCCAATGGCTGCGTTCGCATGGCGGCACCGCGCCCATTTCGGCACACCCCTCACACGCTTCGTGGCCCCATAAGGAGCTCCACCGAGGGCTCCAGTGGCTGCGTTCGCATGGCGGCACCGCGCCCATTTCGGCACACCCCTCACACGTTTCGTGGCCCCAAAGGGAGCTCCACCGAGGGCCCCAGTGGCTGCGTCCGCATGGCGGCACCGCGCCCATTTCGGCACACCCCTCACACGTTTCGTGGCCCCATAAGGAGCTCCACCGAAGGCCGCAGTGGCTGCGTTCGCATGGCGGCACCGCACCCAAGTCGGTACACCTGTCACACGTTTCGTGGCCCCTTAGGGAGTTCCCTCTCATTCGCTCAACCTGCTTTGCGGCACTCGCAACTGCATATGGTTGGGTCCATCGCCAGGATAATGTTCTTGCTTCCCCTTACATTGCTCGCTGCGCCACATCCGCTTCTCCGCCGAGGAAACCAACATGAGGATAGTGTACCGCGATGTGCAGTGGGCGGACTTCACCCGCCTCGAGAAGATTTCGATGCAGACGGCCAACGTTGACGTCTGCGTTGCCATCGGGACGGGCAGGGCAGCGCGAGACACGGACTACACGAAGTGCCAGCTGCCAAACCACCAATGCATTCAGTTCGGGTGGAGGAAAGCGGTTGGCGTCAACAAGTCATGCGGACTGGCAGGATTATTAAATGGGCGGCTCAGTGGGAGGGTCCAGCGAGCAGTTGCGCCGCCGACGACGAGCGGCACCACAGGACGGACTGGCATGATCACAGTTAGCGTGGGCACAATAGACGTGGCGCTTTTCCCCATCTGCATTCCATTGCGGGGCATGGCCGTCAACACCCGCAAGGGCATCACTAGAACCATTCTCATGTGGATCCAGAGCGAGCTTGACAAGCTGGGTCACAACTGCCTTCCCATCATCTTAGGTGACTACAACTGCGCTTTTGGAATACGCCGAGACACAACAGGAAGGAAGTACATCGATGCCACCGAGTCTATCGGCACAGAGGAGCCCGCCTTAGAGAACACCACCAGCTCGCAGATGCGCGACTTCATGGATGACAACCACCTGGCGATCGCTTACACCTTCAGGCGGACAGGGCCCACCTACTACAGAGGCGCCCACACAAGCAAAATAGACCACGTTGCCTTGCCCGCGACAGCCCTGTGCAGAGCATGCCACCTTAACCCCTCGCTCGGCTTGGCGCGACGACTCCAGCTACACGTCTCCGCGCACCTGACCGACCACGTGCCGATCTACATGAACCTGGACGTGCACATCGCCAAGACCCACACCAGCAAGCTCACACCACATGCCAACCGCGACCTGATGATGATTGCTTTCACACGGGGCTACAAGCGCCTGGAGTTTCTAAAAAAGTAGAGGAGAAGACCCAGCAGATAGACGAGACGGAGTGGCGCCACGCCTGGGACCAAGGCAACGTTCAAAAGTGGTGGGGCATATTTTCAAACAATATTCGTGACCCATGCAGGAGACGTTCCCCAAGCAGGAACAGGACATCATCGGATGCGACGAGATGCGGCAGCAGCGACTACGCCTGCTCGAGAAGCGATCCCAACTCCGCGCGGCTGCGCACCGCACCGGCAGCAAAAGCTTTAGTGGCGATGGCTACGCTGAGTTCGACCAGATAGACAGGCAGCTCAAGGCCCTCTCACGGAGGTTACAGGCGCTCCGACGACGACAGAAGACGGAGAGGACAGAAAAAATGGTGGACCAGATCGGCGCAGCCTGGAAACATCACCGCCACGCAGAGCTACACCGCCTTCGAGTCACACTGGCCAACACTGGGCGAGGACCGAAGAAGCGAAACCTGTTCGCCCCGCGCACAGGGATGACAGTATCACAATGGGATGACGGACTGAGCCGACCGCCACAGTTTGGAGGGATGCAGTGCGAGAAGGTTGATTGGCAGGAGTGGATCGCCGACCGCGCCTTCATGCCGCGCATTTACGATTCCTTGCACGCAGACGACCTCCGAGATCAGATTCGCCAGGACCGTGCAGGCCAGATTCGATACCTACGCCGCGCCCCCAAACGACGTGCAGGACCAGCATGGGGAGTGCTAGCGGAGGCACTATGCATGTGCATCGACAGGCGATATCACGTCAACGAGCACGATCGGAAGTACAACCCCGAGCACTTTAGCAGACGTTATGATGAGTTATTCGCGCTGATGCGCCTGGTACGGTCAGTCCTACTGAGTACCATTCAGTCGCAGTCGTTCTCCCAGGCCAAGGGCAACAAGAAGCTCGGGGCCCAAGGGCAACGAACCCTTCATTGTTTCGACGCGTTCGGCGTGTCGTACTTCGGTCAGCTTCAGAAGACCTCCAGGAGCCCCCCCCCCCCCCGACTTTGCACATGGGGGGCTCCCAGGGCGTCGACGGGGCGGGTGCTTCTTGAGTCTCTCTGCGGCGAGCTGGCGATGTAGGCAAGCTAATGTGAGCCATGCCATCTGCAATTGCGACGGCACAAACGCATTCGCATGCACAGACAGAAGAGCGCTCGACGAACATCATGCACGCACGGCACGACGAGAGAACGCACATCTACTACAGCAAGCAATTCGGCAAGCAACAGTCCACGTAGCGGCTCATGACGGTGCAGCCGACTTTTTGCCGCACAGCGGCACCACGATGGGCCATTCTCTCGCAGCAGGCGGCTTCGTTGACATCTACTCTCTTACAGCTTCAGGGTGGAACGCGCAGCTGGGCGCAACGGGCACCAGCTACACATGGCTAGCGGGCCGCTGCCCAGTTTCCAGAGCGGTGGTCGACATAGGAGTTGGTATTTTTGTTGATGACGTATCGCGCGTACATATACATGTATACGCACCGCATGCACGCCACATCATGATGCAGCTGAATCACGCCACGCGCGAGCTCCAGACACATACAGAAGAACGGCCGCCACTTGAACGCAGATAAGACCAACCGTTTCATCTGCATGCACGGAACGGGATCCTTTGAGGCATCCAGGGGCTTAGTTCGACAAAACCGCGTCCTCGGGGCAGTTTGTCGGGAAGCACGCGTTCTCGGGCCGATCCTCAGCTTCGACGGGGCCCTCAGGACGGAACTCAAGAATCGCGCCAAAGGAGGCCGCGCTGCGTGGAGATCACTAGGAGAGGTCTGGAGGCAGCCCCTGCAACCCAAGTTGTTTCGCACGCTCTTCCTGTGCTGTGTGTACAGCGCCGCGATCGCGGGCCTCGCAGCGTCTGCGCTGCCAGCGGAGTTCACGGATAAGTTAGATTCCGTGCTGGTCCGCATGCTCCGTTTCTTGATGCATGGCAAGGCCAAGAATGAGTGCGAGGGCCGAGTCAGGACGATCACAGACAGTGCAGTATTCCGTCACTGGGACATTAGCTAGCCGAACCGCGACCGAGCTTCGAGCGCAGCGTCTGAGGCGGTGGCAGCAGATCTCTTTGGCCCCCCAGAATCACAAACAGGTCCTGGCCGCCATGTTTGGGACGTTGGAAATCGATCGGCCCCTCGAGCTCCCGAGACTCACGTGCGACGGGGGGCTCACAGCACACAGCACTCCTTGGGCTCAGCAGTTCAGAGACGACCTGGAGGACCATGCTAATGCAGACCCGCGGTTCACGAGAATATGGACGAACAGAGGCAACCTCCTCCAGGTCTTCGAAGACCCAGAGGCCGGCCAGGAATTTAACAAAATCAAGGTAGGTACCCTTCGAGACCCCCTCAGCCCTGAAGGCGCCCGCCGAGCAGCCCGATCTCAAAGCGACGACGGGGGCGCAGACGACGACAGCAGCATCGCAGGCGAGTGCATTTGCACGCGCGAGATGGGGGAGGAGGGCGAGGGCAGGAGTTGCGGGATGGCGCACATCACGCACGCGCACCGCATGCGCAACCTGCGCTCCATGATCGTCAGCACGAACGTGTGCCCATGGTGCCGCACAGCATTTGCGAGCAGAGCATCATGTCTGCGCCACGTCATCACCATGTCGAAATCGCGCCCACTGCGTTGCCCTGCTCGAGCCACTTCATTTGTATTCGAGCCCGACCAACGGGATGTGTTCACCTGCGGCTACTGCAGCCGCGAGGATCCGAACATCGAGGATCATCTTGGCCACGCCACTACTCATTGCCCTGGCCCTCGCGATGTCTTGGGGAGCCACCGCAAGCGGAAGCAGGCCGCGCAGTCAGGCGGCGGAGGCAGCCGCGGCGACCTTGGCCCCACGCCAGAAGCATGCACGTGGAGGGCCGAAGAAGGCCACTGGCAAAGAGACTGGCTCAGGCGACCACAACGGCGAAGAGATCGTGCTGATGCAGAAGTTGGCACTCAACAGCGCGCAGATGATCAGGCAGCTGTCGGGCAGCCTCTAGGACTTCTTCCTGATCCCAGGCGAGCGCTCAGCAGTGGCCGCCGCGGCAGCAGCGGGCACAACCTACGCAGAGAAGGCCAGGGAGAAGAACAGCAAGGACCTGGGGCCACCGCACCTCCACATCGGCGTAGACTTCTTCCTGGAGATGGGGCTTAACGACAAGGCCGAGGGGACCAACAAGACGATCCTGACGGAGCTTCGCTTGCTGATCGACGTGCTGGGCGCGCAGGGCTTCGGGGACATCGCCTCGTACTTCAAAGTCAAGAAGGCCTACAGCGAAGCGGGACAGCCAGAGAGATGGAAGCTCTACCTGATGCTCAACAGTCTCGCACGCAGCCATTGGACAGTCTCATGGGAGGACCAGAGCAACGCCATTCGCGAAGGAAACCAGGAGCCGCCCGTCAATATCAGCCGCACCACACAGATCGGGGACCTCAGGAAAGCCGTCGTGGACACACTCCGAGCAGCAGGGGCAGAGCAGATATTCGGAGCACCGCCGCCATCAGGTCTCGAGAGGAAAGTGCAGGCAGCACTGCGCGCTCGGCAACTGGCGATGGAGGGATGAGATGACAGGACTTAGAGAACTCGCTAGGGCTGGCAGTCGCAGGGCGATGGTCCTGCTGCGACGCATCACCCACCCGCGATGGCTCCTCGTGCTTTCGTGCACGCGGAATCGTTCAACACATGTCTCGGGGATTTAGGCGCCAAAGGGTGCCTCGCTTTTCTTCTTTCCCTGGTTCCCGCGGCGTCCGCCTGTTTCGGATGGTTCCCTCGTGGGCATTTGGGCCCGTCGCGCCACGGGAACCTGGACCTCGGGACCAGACATGTTCACAACGACGGAGCGCGCAGCAGCTTTAGATAGTGGAACTTGGGGGGAGGGGGGAGTTGGGGAGCGGGGGGGTGGAGGTGGCGGGAAGACTGCTACACTGGGACACGTCCCGAGTCAGGGGTGATTGGCCCGACGGTCCTAAGCCCCTGGCGCTTCCATAACAAATTTGTTTTCGGGAAGGCCCCGCGCTGCAGCGGGCCGAGAGGCTAAAAAAACAAGGGTCCCGTAGGCGACCCGTCGATCCGCCGATCTGACGCGCCAGCCGCAATAGGTTCGCATGCAGTCGAACTTCAGACAGCTGCCAAGGCTTCCTCCTCCTCCTCCTCCTCCTCCTCCTCCTCCTCCTCCTCCTCCTCCTCCTCCCATCTAGCACTGGCTCCAGCGAGCAGGAGGGGGTTTGGCCGAGGTCCGAGGTTTTGGGTTCGAGACGATCTGTTTACTGTTTCACCCTCCAAGAGCTGGCACGAGGGTCAGGAACAACTCTAGCTCTGGAGGGCTGCCCTGATGTTGGAGCCGTCTGGGGGTCTGATGTGGCCCAGCACTGGCTCCGGCCAGCAGGAGGGGCGGGCAGGTTCGAGGCTGGGTTCGGGAAGGTGTTTTGTTTTTTTTTCGGGCTCCCGGAGCCGATTTCGGACTCCCGGACCGTCGAGAGCGGATCTGGGGTGCAAAACCACACCAGGTGGACCCCAGGAGGGTTCCGTGGGCCGACTTTGAGCAATTTTCTCGGGGCCCATTCAGTTCAGACTTCCTGTTGGGTTCGATGGGTTTTTGCACCGAGCCGCCCAAAACAGCTTCCCCCCAACCGCCGGCAGCTCCCGATAGTTACCGATAGGTGGGGCATGCGGGGGGCATCTGTTCACGGCAATCCGGTGCACCCGCGGATCGAATTCATGCCCCCCCCTCAGGGTCACCCCCCCTTTGGGGAGGAGGAGGAGGAGGAGGAGGAGGAGGAGGAGGAGGAGGAACAGGAACAGGAACAGGAACAGGAACAGGAACAGGAACAGGAACAGGAACAGGAACAGGAACAGGAACAGGAACAGGAACAGGAACAGGAACAGGAACAGGAACAGGAACAGGAACAGGAACAGGAGGAGGAGGAGGAGGAGGAGGAGGAGGAGGAGGAGGAGGAGGAGGAGGACGGAGGAGGAGGAGGAGGAGGAGGAGGAGGAGGAGGAGGAGGAGGAGGAGGAG